ATTAGACTGTTCCAGACCGTGTGACCGACTTAAATAGGCTTTCTCCTTTATATACCAGATTATGGCAAACTGTGTAAATAACATATCAGGTTTTCCTTAAATATGAACTGCGAACAACCTCCCCGCTTTCTTCCTTTTTTTTTTTTTCTTTTTTTTTTTTTTTTTTTTCTTTTTTTTTTTCTGCTTTCCTACCTTTTTTTAGATCCCTTTCACATTATTACATTGTGGCAATGTAGACTTTCCTTTGCACAATACTTTAACAAACTTGCGATGGTGTTGAGCCATCTCTATGGCACCCCAACACACCCTGCTAATGAAGGTCCACAGCTCAGCATAACACACGAATATGCATTGCAGTATGGTTTGCTATGAAAAAAAAAAAACAAAAAAATTGCTGTAACACACCACACCTCAGTGGTTAGGTGTGATTCTATCCTAAACAATCATACCCAATGATTGCCAATCATGGGTAATAGTGGAAATGAGAGCCCACCCCTTTCTCCCTTCTCCGACGTCTGTTGCCCTCACTTCTATTGTTTGTTTTAAGACTTTTGGCCTCTATGCCCACAGTTGCACATGGATAAGACTTTTTTTTGGAAGCAGCCCTGAAGTCCATAGAGTTCGGAAGGGAAAGATCGTGGATACTATTCTTCATGGTTGCTACTGACAGTTTCTTGGGTGTAGTTGCCACCTCTTCTGGGAAACATCTTGACCTTATGGACTTTTTTCCTATTCATACCATTGCTTCAAATCCCCATTTTACTTGGCAAGTTTGAAACCTTGGCATGAACAAGGGGCTGAAGGCAGACCTTTGCATCTGCTATTCACCGTCGAAGTCTGACAATTGTAGATTGGAGAACCGAAGGCTTTCCATGGTAGTTGGTATAGCCTGTTGTCTTCAGGCTATTTCTGAAGGAAGGACTTCTCCGGTTTTCTTTAGCAACTGATCAGACTTTAGTTTTTTTTCTCTCTAGTGACACATAAGTGTTGAAGGGAGAATCTAGACGGTATGGGTAACTTAACCGGTCTTCCAGACGTTTAGCATGGGACCTTCTGTTTGTGACTAACAAATCTTACCAGACAGCCTCTTCACTTTTCACCTAGAAGTCCATAGACATGTTCATGGGGAAAAACATGGTTACTGGTGAAGCTTAATGGATGCTATGCAAGATCCTAACACTGATGTACAAAGCTGTCCACCATACTGCCCTGAACTACATCACTGACCTAATATCCAAGTACCGCCCACCACGCACACTCCGCTCCTCACAAGACCTCCTTCTCTCTAGTTCTCTGGTCTCCTCCTCCCATGCCCGCCTCCAGGACTTCTCCAGGGTGTCACCCATCCTCTGGAACTCCCTGCCCCAACCCATCAGATTATCACCTACTCTCCTCTCCTTTAGGCGCACCCTGAAAACCCATCTCTTCAGGGAAGCCTACCCCACCCCCTGCTAACTTGCCGACCTCCTCACTCTTCCTACCACTCCATCCCCCACAGCTACTATCTCCTCCTGTGCCACCATCCCCTCCCTCCTAGATTGTAAGCTCGAAAGAGCAGGGCCCCCGATCCCTTCATGTTTTGCATTGTATTGGTATTGTTCTGTCACATGTTCTGTCCCCCTTTGTAATGTACAGCGCTGAGCGAACCATTGGCGCTTTATAAATACTGTATATTAATAATAATACTTCGTGGTTGCTACTGATTTGGTGTCTTGAGTTTAGTTGCCACCGTTTTCTAGGAAATATCTTGACTTGTGGACTTTTTTCCTGTTCATATCATTGGCCTCAAATCCCATTTTTACTGGGCAGGTTTGAAACCTAGTCCTGAACGATGGGTAAAGGGGTGAAGGCATCTTCTATCCACCATCGACAAGTCTGACAACTCAATATTGGAGAAATCAAAAGCTATTTGCAATACTTTGTATAGCTGTCTTTGGAATATTTTTTATTCTTCCAGTTTTCTTTAGCAACAAATTAGATTTTAGTTTTCTGCTCTCTAGTGATGTATAAGAGTGGGGGAGAGAATCTGGTCGTTATGGGCGACTTAATAAGACCTTTTGTGTTTGACTAACAGATCTTATCTACAGTCTCACCAGAGAGACAGCCTCACTCTTCACCTAATCTCTGAATTCTAGTTACATTATTACAGTGTACTGACAGTCCATACTTCAGTCTCGATACGGGCCGTAGGATCAAAGATTGCCTGTGATGTCTGTCAGTTATGTGTCAATAACCCTCGTTTCAGATGTTTTGCAAGTAAACAGACCTTGATTTTGTTTAAATAGTCTGTGGTCAGCAGTTTGATTTGGCACTGGGATGATCCCGTGATTTGCTAAGGGCTTGTGTTATCACTGACTTGTGAAACGCCTGGTGGTCATGTTGGCAGAGTTTTGGCTTTGAATGTTATCCAGACTTCTTATCAAAAATGCAATGCTGTGTCTATGTCAGGGTGGATAAAAATCAATGATTTTTTTTTAAAAATCCGATTTTTTTTTTTTTTTTTTTTTTTTTTTTTTTTTTTTTTTTTTTTTTTTTTTTTTTTTTAAATCGGATTTTTTTGAATAAAATGCTTTTTGAGGAAAATATATTACCATCCAAAGGTTATTCCATCATGAAATAAATGAAATAAAGATTAGTTTTTTAATTATGTAGAATAAGGCTGTATATGTTTAATTTTTTTGGTAAATAAATTCCATGACTCCATTCACAATGTCATGCTCTTCCAGAGGTTTTTGTAAGATTATTGGGCAGTTTCTCTGCCTACAATATATTATCACAGATGTTGGTTTACTTTTGCAGTTCTCAAAACTGAATTTGACTCAGCGGAGATCACATGCCTCTTCTTCACAGCAAAAATGTTATAACATGAACAGAGTTAAGAAAAAGACCTTCATCCTAACTTCTACAAACCTATGAATACAGAATCAACCCCTTCACTGCTAAGTTTCAAGAAGTTCAGTGAATAGAATAGAAACAATATTTTTTCTGATTGTTTGGAGTGGAATAGATCTGCACAAGAAGAAAGTGAAGCTAAGTGTGAGGAGGAAGGGGCAGACAGTCTACGTTTCTTCAAATATATATATATTTTGTTTAGCCAAATTAGTTCCCAAACATGGATGTTTAAGCAAATACCATATGCTAGAATGTTATTGTTTCAGTTGAATAAATCTATTTAAATTGTTATTATTAAGGTAATCTTTTTCTCCTTCCTAAGTACAACAGAAAAGTTGTCCAAATATGAATGATTAACCTATTAAACTGGGGATAAAAAAACTAATATGAAAAGTTGTTATTCTAAAAATCTTCATCTACTTGTATATTAAAGTTATACCAGCAAGAATTAGTCTTTATGTAGAAAACTAGGATTTACATCAAGCCTTACTGACTAGTGATTTAAATCGTGATTTAAATCAGTTTGATTTAAATCAAATCCACCCTGGTCTATGTAATGTTTTTGTAGAGGTCTTGGTGTTGTGGACTTGCTGGTGGTTTTGAGATCTACTTTCTGTATAACCGTGCTGGAATAATCTCAGGAACCATGTAGCCAATGGAATGTTACAGCTAGTCTAACCTTTTTGTACATCGTATATTACAGTCAATAGAAGCATGTGATCTTTGTGTTCGCTTGAAGTCTTATTTGGGCTTACAGACTTTTCTATTTTACTTTTCCATGTATTGAGGCTGGTGCAGCATTTCAAATAGTCCCTGGCTTTTGTTTCCTTGCCATCGAAATGTAAAAAACGTATATGCCGACTGCAGGACTGTTAATGCATTTGGTTGCTGTGGCTGTTCAGTAAAATACCTACACATATACCGGCCACTAAGAATAATGACTGGCCACTAAGAGTTGGCCTGTTGTCCGCAACTCAAAGACAGACTAGTTACAACCTTGGATACCTGTTCAGTTCTTTAATTGTCTATGGCAAAAGCAGGGACGGACTGACAACTCATGGGGCCCCCGGGCAATAGGGGATCATGGGGCCCGTGTCCTTGCCCACACTCAAAGCACACCCAAAAAAGCCTATAAAAGGTACCAGGGGCATTTCATGGGGCCCCCTACTGACCCCGGACCCTCGGGCAGTGCTCGAATGGTCATTCCGCCCCTGGTTCACCAACAGCCAATCTTTCCTCACCTGATTTGCTCATACTTCACCCAGCCTCACTTGTTCTCTAAAGGGTGACAAGCCAACAGCTGCAAACCACTGAATGGCACTCCTCTGTAAAATGTTTAAAGTGAACCTTTTTGCAGGTTCTCTTGATATCCCCCAATAATACCCAACTATCTGCACTCCCAGTTTAGTTTGCCCGCTGGAGCCCTTAATTAAAGTCCTTTTTTTTTTTTTTTTTTTTTTCGTTTTGAGCTTACACAGGGCTAAAGAACTTCACGTAAGACGGCCACTAAGAATGGCAGTCTCTGGAGTTGGTTGTTGCCAGCAACACAAAGACAGACTAGTTGCTGAAAAAAGAGGTGCAGCCTTGGATACCGGTTCAGTTCTTTAATGGTCTATGGCAGAATGTCCACCAACAGCCAATCTGTTTTGGCAAAGCTGATTTGCTCAGGCTTCCCCCAACCTCAGTTATTCTCCAAAGGGTGACCAGCCATGGGCTGGGACCACTGAACAGTCCTCTGTAAATGTTTAAAGTGAACCTCTCACAGGTTCTCTTGTCTTGATAGCCCTTAATAATGCCTAACTACCTGCGCTTCTCTTTAGTTTGCCTGCTGGAGCTCTTCAATAACAGCCTTTTAGAGCTAATGCAGGGCTAATGACCTGCGTCTAGCAGTGCTCATGCCTGGCAATGGTCCACTCAGGTGCCGTGGGAGGTGGGTAGGTCACTTGTTCCTCTGTATTCAGAAGTTCTGGGTTCCTCCAAGAGCTTCGTCAGGCAAAGAGATTGCCATGAAGTTGCGTATCAGCAGAAGGAACCTTAGGGAACCTTACAATGAGTCTACAACTGTGCTTCTGTAACTTTGTAATAGTCTTCTTCTCATCTTCTCCTAGAAACCCGACGTCCTCACAACTGGTGGTGGTAATCCCGTGTCTGATAAGTTAAATCTTCTGACTGTTGGACCTCGAGGGCCCCTACTGGTGCAGGATGTGGTGTTTACAGACGAGATGGCACACTTTGACCGGGAGAGGATTCCTGAAAGGGTGGTGCATGCTAAAGGAGCAGGTAGGTGTATGTGCTGTCTCTACACAAAGGTCCTCTTCCCTTTTTAAAGCTTTTATTTTGTCTTGGCTGGAAGGCGATGGGGCTGCCTGCATGATACTTTGAGGGGTTATTTACTAAAACTGCAAACTCTGTTGCAGCTCTGAATAGAAATCCGCTTCCAGGTTTTATTGTCAAAGCTTAATTGAACAAGCTGAAGTTAGAATCTGATTCAGCTGTGCACGGTAGCCAATCAGATCCCGAGTGCACCCGTTTTACTAAATCTACCCCTTTGCTTGTATATGCAGCCCCAATGTTCGTCAGGCACTAACGTTTCAGCATTTTCCTCTTTTTCTGCATTTATCTATCTGTTCCTACTAAGAAACGGAGGTTACCTCTTCCAAGCTACAAATATGGTTGAGACCTGCCCTGAAATTTGTGAATGTTATTGGTAGTTATGACATGTTCTTGATAAGAATACATTTATACATCACCCCTGATATCACCAACAGCAATGCACGTGTTTCAGAGTAGACTTATGGGACGTAAAGGCTTATAAGGGAATCGTCACTTAAAGCAGGACTTTACCCATAATAACTTGAAAAAAATGGTTCATTGGCAAGGAACATACATTCCAGATTAATAATTATGCTACCTAAATTAGCGTGTGTTGTAAATTGCCTCCAGCAATGTTTCTGTTCCCTCTTGTTGGAGACTGACATTTTACTGAAGGCCAGAGCCCCCTGAGCAGCAGTAAATCTTTTTAGGCAGTCAGCAAATGGGCCTCTACATTTTTGGCACAGTCAAAAATTAGAGGGCAACTGAGCATGTGCAGAGCAGGGTGAGACACTTTATTGCTGGATTTTAAACTGTATAGGTACTTATTTTTAATGTTTTACATAGTGAATAACTGCAAAAGGGGCCGGCCTGAAATGATCTAGTGGGACTTAATTTTCTGACTGAAGTTCCACTTTAGGTAGGGTTGTCATAAAGTAAAGATCAGATTTAGATGAGATAACACCGATATTAGTTGGGTGTCTAAATACTCTTGTGAGTCACACACCTGGCACTCTACATAGCTATGACTTTGACATCTGTGTGAGCTTTGCAGTGGATGCTGGGTCACCTGCTTGCTCACTAGACAGGTACTTGACATCACACAGCTTTTTGATTGCCCGATGAGCAGGTAGATATCTTAGGGACTTTCAGCAGTAATTAATGGTGTCTCTTTAGTAGTGTAGTACTGTGGTCTACTGCTCACACAGTTCAGTTCCTTTTTATAGGGACATTATCTGCATAGAGTTTGATGGTTAAACCCTTACATATACCCAGTGAAGTGACTGGCCTCAGGTGATACACAAAGATGAAACAAATCCTCCTACATAGGTTGTACTTGTTTATCTGCAGTCTTCTCTCCTCTACATCCGTTTAAAGTCCTGAATTTATCAAGATTGTCTGAGCTGTCAGAAAAAAGGGGGTGGAGAGCTGAAATTACACACTGCGAAGCGCAGTGAGGAGAGCTCTTAGAGCTGATTGGAGAGCAGGGACACACACCCCCTTCACACAGCTCACAGGAACAGAGCTGAGCTTGTCAATCACATGCTGTGCCCTCCCTGTCACCATTTTTCTCTTGGTGTCAGGAAGACTCATTAGAAGTGATTCATGCTGATCGCAGAGGAAGGAGGCAGTGGTCAGAAAAGACTAAGCACACACTATAGAGGGATATGCTTTGTTCATATTTCATGTTTGAGGTTTACAACCACTTTATCTTTGGGTGCTCAATTTTAATCCCACAAAAGGGAAAAAAGTTAACCAGTGTTCTTATTGGTATATCTGTTTGATGCTCCATGTATTTCATTGTCGTTTTTAATGGGCAGTTTGGTGGCTTAGTGGTTAGCACTCCTGCTTTGCAGCATTAGGCTCCTCTGTTCTCCCTGTGCTTGGGTTACCTTCCACATCCCAAAGACATGTTCATTGGTTGGCTGGTAATTGGCTGCTGTACTAATTGGCCCGAATATGTATGTGAAATGGGGAACTTGGATTGTAAGCTTCTTGATATACACCGCTATGTAAATTGTTGGTGCTATACAATACAAATACACGTAATAAAGTAAATCTGTTTGAAAAATATGAAGACTGACATTCATGACTTCTTTGAAAATGCAAAATGTTTGGCTGTCCTGCTGACCAAGTAAGCAGATCAGAAAAGTCTCAGAAATGTCCATCTGTATACCTGTTCTGGGCCAATTACTCAGTCAGCTAGAGGTGGCCTTGTGTTCTGCTAATGTCTATGTACATCCTTGCAATGTATATAATATACGTGAAGGGTTTTTTGTTTCTTTTGTTTTCTTTTTCTTGTGGGTTTTTTTTCTGCTTCATTTATCCAAGAAATTGAATCTTTTATGGTGACCCACTGTTTTCAGGGGCCTTTGGCTATTTCGAGGTGACCCATGACATCGCAAGATATTCCAAGGCTAAAGTGTTTGAGCACATTGGGAAGAGAACTCCGATTGCTGTGCGATTCTCCACCGTCGGTAAGACTCTTCTCCATTTCCGGTTATAAAGGTGTGCTGAATCTTCAGTAGAGGTGACTTTTCTGTGATCTCCTCTCTGCAGCTGGAGAGGCGGGTTCCGCTGACACCGTGCGTGATCCGCGAGGCTTTGCCTTGAAGTTTTACACCGAGGATGGGAACTGGGATCTGACTGGCAATAACACCCCCATTTTCTTTATCCGTGATGCCATGTTGGTGAGTTGTCGTCAGTGTTCTGTCTTTTTATTAAATGTTGGTTGGTTCCATACTGAATGCACAAGTAAGCTTTCTAATGTACCCTATTGCTTTGTAGCAGAACTTCAGGTTTACTGTCTTTTTTATGCCTCACTTAAGTTGGCCATACATATTCGAAGTTTGGCTGTATGGCCACTGTGGTTGAACAGAAGTCGATCTGCCGATCGACTTCTGTTCAATCGCCCTGTCAGATTTTATCAGTTTGATCAATGTTGCAGCCAATAGGCTGCAGTGCTGATCTGTGTATTCTGACATAGGGGAGTCTTCCTGTTATCAGAATACAAAGACACATTGGGGAGTATTTTCCCATCCACCTCGAATGTGTGAATGGGGCAATTAGGTCCGTCCCCCTTCTTCTTTTTTTTTTTTTTTTTTTTTTTTTTCCATTTAATTGAATGAAAAAAAACTGACCAACCTATGGCCGGCTTTACACCTATGTCCAGTGTTATCGTTGCAAACCTTCCTTATGTGCTTGGTTTAACACACCTCCTCTACCGACATCCCCCCACCTCCAATCCAGATATTGGTAGCTGGCCATCCTGTGAATGCTTTTAGGATAAAGTGACTGTTAAAATTTTGCTCTCATGTATACCCCTCACTCCCAACTGCTGACTGAGCAATGAAGGACAGGAGGACAAGCAGCGCACTGATAGCCTCAGCTGTTTCGGCTACCAAACTCATAGATCTGGCCATTGCAGTATTGCCTAACTGGGTCAGTATTGGTTCTCCCACCCCACAAGTTCCTGCTGTGCAAGTGATTCTTGGAAGTCAATAAGAAGACTGTGGTACTTCTATACAAGCAGTGGCTTTATTATTTATTTTTTTTTTTGTACATAACTGGATTAAAAGGTGGCCCTTTTTTTAAAATTTTGCCTGGTGTCCATCTTCCACGAACAGCGACACCAGTAATGCATTCTGCAAAGTGTATGTCTAGAAAATTGTTGGAAAGGGTTGGTCTTTCTTAACTTATTACTCCAGAGGAAACCCTAAAGTAATCTTGCAGGTCTTGGGGAACCCTTACTAAAACACATTCATCGGGATTCAGTGGGGAAAAATGTCCCTTGCTTGGTGGTAAGTAGAAAGGATGCAACCCTTGCAGATAACTTAAAAAAAAGCTCGTTGGGGGTCATGCTGCAGGCCTTACCAAGTGGCATTGGCTGTAGAACTCTGCAGGCACTGTCCGTTGAGGGGAATCGGTCAGCCACAGGTCAAGGAACCCCTAGATACTTCTGCAGGAACCCTAATGTTCCCTGGAACCGTGGCTGAGATTGACTGGGTTAGATCCCCTTCTCAAATTTTTATTGCAGTCTGTGTCTCCATTAAGGAAATGCACCCCTTTTATTTGTCCTTGTGATCATGGTCACTAAGAAAGTGAGGGGAAATCCAGCATTTTTACAGTTGTCCAGAACAAGAGGTGAGGGTATGTCTTCCAATGTCAAGACTTTTTCTAGGGACAACTGTTAGTTTCCCTGAACTTTCGGAGATTGCTTCTAATTTTCTGTTAGGTCTATGGGATAGAAAGTGAAGATAAATTTCCCTAGTAATACGCAGACCTAAAAAATAAGAGGTATGGCATTGTGCACATACTGTGAACCAAGCTCTGGTAAGCAGGGTTTTACTTCCATTATATTAGAGCTTCCAGCAAGGGGTTCAATGAGCAGTACAATAGTGACATCACCAAGTCTCCTGACACTAGCAGTCGGAGGCAGCAGTTCCTTAGATTTCTCTCTGTGGTCATACACGTATATAGTTGGAGGCACATGAGTGCCTCGGTACCCTCACATATCAGGAAGTGCTGCTTTGAAGACAGAAATACTTTTAAATGAACCTATTCCCAGACTATGGACTTTTAAGTGGTTGTCCTTACATATACCCAGTGAAGTGACAAACCACAGGTGATACAGAGATGAAACCAATCCTCCTACATGTTTATCTGCAGCCCTCTCTCCTCTACAGCCCTTCCGAATCTAGAATGTATACAGCTTGTCTGAGTTTCCAGAAAGCAGTGGGGGGAGTTGCAGTTACTCTGCAGAGATCAGTGAGAGCTGATTGGAGGGAAAGGACTCACACCGCAGCACACAGAAACCATGCTGAGGCTTTCAGTCATAGGCTGTGTGCTGGAGCTCCCTCCCCAACACCTTTTTTCTCTTGGTGTTTGGAAACATTGCCAGAAGTGACTCATGCAGATAGTAGAGCAATGAAGCAGCAGGGAGAAATGACACATGGTGCTCTGAACTGAGAAAAGTACACACTATAGAGGGATATGCTTTGTTCATATTTCATGTCTGAGGATTACAACCACTTTTAAGTGCAGGGATTTGGATCAAAAAGGTCCGCCTTGTCAAAAATAAGACAGTTGGGAGCTATGACCCAGGAATTGCATGACCTAATTAAGTGATCAGGAGCAAGGAACCAGGTTGTGTGTGTATATTTATATTGTGTGTGTGTGTGTGTGTGTATCTCTATATATATATATATATATATATATATATATATATATATATATATATATATATATATATATATATATATCTATCTCTATATATACAGTCATGGCCGAAATTGTTGGCACCCTTGATATTTCTCCAGGAAATCATGTATTTCTCACGAAACGTATTGCATTAACACATGTTTTGCTATACACATGTTTATTCCCTTTGTGTGTATTGGGACAAAACAAAAAAAGGGAGGAAAGAAAGCAAATTCGACATAATGTCACACAAACCTCCAAAATGGGCTGGACAAAAGTATTGGCACCCTTTCACAACTGCGGATAAATAAGAATGTTACAAGCATGTGATGCTCCTGTAAACTCACCTGGGGCAAGTAACAGGTGTGGGCAATATAGAAATCACACCTGAAAGCAGATAAAAAGGAGAGACGTTCACTTAACCTTTGCATTGTGTGTCTGTCTGTGCCACACTAAGCATGGACAACAGAAAGAGGAGACGAGAACTGTCTGAGGACCTGAGAACCAAAATTGTGGCAAAATATCAACAATCTCAAGGTTACAAGTCCATCTCCAGAGAACTAGATTTGCCTTTGTCCACAGTGCGCAACATTATCAAGAAGTTTGCAACCCATGGCACTGTAGCTAATCTCCCTGGTCGTGGACGGATGAGGAAAATTGATGAAAGATTGCAACGCAGAATAGTCCGGATGGTGGATAAGCAGCCCCAAACATGTTCCAAAGACATTCAAGCTGTCCTGCAGGCTCAGGGAGCATCAGTGTCAGCGCGAACTATCCGTCGACATTTAAATGAAATGAAACGCTATGGCAGGAGACCCAGGAGGACCCCACTGCTGACACAGAGACATAAAAAAGCAAGACTACAGTTTGCCAAAATGTACTTGAGTAAGCCAAAAGCCTTCTGGGAAAACGTCTTGTGGACAGATGAGACCAAGATAGAGCTTTTCGGTAAAGCACATCATTATACTGTTTACCGAAAACGGAATGAGGCCTACAAAGAACAAAACACAGTACCTACGGTAAAATATGGTGGAGGTTCAATGATGTTTTGGGGTTGTTTTGCTGCCTCTGGCACTGGGTGCCTTGACTGTGTGCAAGGCATCATGAAATCTGAGGATTACCAAAGGATTTTGGGTCGCACTGTAGGGCCCAGTGTCAGAAAGCTGGGTTTGCGTCCAAGATCCTGGGTCTTCCAGCAGGACAATGACCCCAAACATACGTCAAAAAGCACTCAGAAATGGATGGCAAAGAAGCGCTGGAGAGTTCTGAAGTGGCCAGCAATGAGCCCCCAGATCTAAATCCCATTGAACACCTGTGGAGAGATCTTAAAATTGCTGTTGGGAAAAGGTGTCCTTCCAATAAGAGAGACCTGGAGCTGTTTGCAAAGGAAGAGTGGTCCAAAATTCCGGGTGAGAGGTGTCAGAAGCTTATTGATGGTTATAGGAAGCGACTGATTTCAGTTATGTTTTCCAAAGGGTGTGCAACCAAATATTAAGTTAAGGGTGCCAATACTTTTGTCCAGCCCATTTTTGGGTATTTGTGTGACATTATGTCATATTTGCTTTTCTGCCTCTGTTTTATATTTGTTCCAATACATACAAAGGGAATAAACATGTGTATAGCAAAACATGTGTTAATGCAATACCTTTTTTGTGTGAAATACTTGATTTTCAGGAAAAATATCAAGGGTGCCAACAATTTCGGCCATGACTGTATATCTCTATATAGAGATAGATAGATAGATAGATATATAGATAGATAGATAGATAGATAGATAGATAGATAGATAGAGATATATATATATATATATATATAGATATATCTCATTATATTGCCTACCACTCATGCAGCATTGCAATACTGTTCAAGGAACCTTAATAGTTTAATTGTTTAACTGTATTTCCAGTTCCCGTCATTCATCCACTCTCAGAAGAGGAACCCCCAGACCCACATGAAGGATCCAGATATGGTCTGGGATTTCTGGGGCCTGCGCCCAGAGTCTCTCCACCAGGTAAAATTCCATGTTCATTATCTATAATATAGATAATATAATATATATTAAAGTAGAACCAAACCCCCGGACTTAATGGTTTCCTAAAACAGTTACATTCAAGGCATGCCATCATTAACAATTGCCATGCCATGATTGCATTGGTGCTGCACCTCTGATCAGAGGCTAAGATGGCAGCTTTCTTGGCTGTAAAGGATACAAGTCTTTAGTTCTGGTTTAATACAGACATTCTGACCTGTAGCAGGTCTGAGCACAGTGCTCCTATTAACCGAAAAGATAATGCACCTGACATGATCTTCTTACCAGGACCTGTGTGCAGAGTCAGCAATGCCGCCCCAGGCAGATAACATCTTATGTCTTATTAAGAACTGTCACACTGACAGCATAATGGGAAGCATGGGTGTACTTCCATATTACACTAGCTGGATCTCCTCCAAGTGCACCATCAGCATTAAATATGCGACTCCTGTTCTCTACTTGTTAATGATTTTCATTTGTTCGTAACACTGTTTAATGAATTCCAATGTGGAAATCTACTGTGCCCCAACCATCAAGGTGCTACAGAGATCCCATGTGCCTATAAGTTTTATAGCAGTTGGATTTTGCAAGGATTCCCCCCCATGCCTTTTTTTGTTTTTTTTTTGTTTTTTTTTTTTTTTTTTTTGTGATCCTTGCATGGTAAAGTAAACCTAAGTCAATTGGAGTTGGACAGTCGCCTTACCCCAATGTCTCAGCACTAGGCCACGAAAACCCCAGCACTGGCACATGAGAGAGGAGTAAGCCACATGATCCTTATACCCAGGAGAATAGGGGTTTCTTTACACTTTTGGTGTTAAGGAAAGATTATCATGTCCAGCTACTGCATCAGGGGAAAGACTGTGCATACGAGGATGTCTAAATCAGAGAAAAAGCTCCCTCCTGTGATGGTGGAGGTGAGCAGTCATGACTAGGCCTGGCTTAGAAACACCCTGGGAGTATTCCAGTCAGGCCTCATTAGGTATGTAAATGGCCTACAACTATAGCAAGGGCATTATTCAGCTTTGGTCAGAGGTGCACAGTTTTTTTTTTTTTTTTTTTTTTTTTTTTAAATCTACAGACACCCCTTATCTGCATAGGGAGTCCTATAGGGTAAGGATGACCTAACCCTTTACATGGACACTGCTTTGATTTGGGCCATCTTAAAATGATGGTCCAATATTATTATTATTATACAGGATTTATATAGCGCCAACAGTTTTGCTCAGCGCTTTACAATATAAAGGGAGACAATACAGCAACAATACAGAGAGTTAGGAGGGCCCTGCTCCTTGGAGCTTACAATCTACGGGGGCAAATCAAAGCAATGTCTTTGATTATTTTGTCTAAGGTGACTTTTGTGGTCCTCTGTTGTAGGTTAATATGCTGTTTATTGTTGTGTATACCTTTTAATTACAATTTCCTAGTCATACTTTTTTGCTAGCATATGTAGCCCTAGTGTACAGTTTGCACATTTTCAAGGTTGCTTTTTAATTGCCCCCCTAGAAAAAAGAAAAAAATTGAAGTAGAGATTTCACACAAAACTGTACGACTGACACATAACCCCTAACTCCCAGTTTTTGTACAGCTTTGTGCAATCTTTCAATTGGGGAGACAGAAAGAGAAGCCTCTGTTGTGCTCTTTAGAAAAATGAATGGTCTGTTAAACCATTCGGTGCTTTGTGCATTAAATGTTTAAATCCCAACTCCTGAAACTAAACAAGTATCCCTTGCTATGGGGGCTCTCCAGGCACTGCAAGGGTTAATTGCTCATTTTGTTCCAGGGCTCTGATGCCCAACAAGTGGCTGGCCAGCCCTCTGCGTGCAGCCCATGGTCTGTTGGGCACCATATTTATTTTATTATTTATTTCAGGTACTTGTATAGCGCCGTCAATTTACTCAGCGCTTTACATATATATTGTACAGTCACATCAGTCCCTAACCCTCAAGGGGTGTACAATCTAAGGTCCCTAACTCACATTCATACATACACATACTAGGGCCAATTTAGACAGGAGTCAAGTCACCGACCAGCATGTCTTTGAACCATACAGAAAGCAGCGAAGAGCTGGGTGTTGGAACGTTCTGTATTTCAGCATCCAGCACCAGAAGAGACTGTACTGTGGATAGAGTTGCCTCTACTCACAGCACAAGTAAAGTCCTGGCCTGGGGAGAGTGAGGAGATGAGCGGGGGGGTGTGATAGATAAGTGATCACCAATTGGGTGGGGGTTAAATTTTACTGCCAGTGACCATCTGGTAATGGGAGGGTTAACTCTGACTACCAATGTGGGGGGCTTATATTAAATGACACTGACGACCAGTACAAGGTGGAGATTACATTTCACTGCCAGTGACTACCAATGCATGAGGCTGATAATGCTTTCACTGACACTAAACTGGGATTATTGCACTCCAAAATCTTCAGTGTGCTTTGCGATGCACTGCAAATGTAGCAGGACCAAAATTTTTGGATGTTGATGTGCAAAAATGTGCTGCTACTGCGTAGCCACCTGGAGGTGTCAGGAACCACGCTTGAGACCCTCTAATTTTCCACCAATGGTTGAGGTGAACAAAAAAAGATTTACTTACCCTATCTTCCACTTCTCCGTCCCTGCAGCTGTACTGGTCCCCCGCAGCTTCTTCTGCCCCATGTCCTCAATGTTCTAGAGTCCTAATGTCCAATACCAAAGCAGGATTCATAGCCCAGCAGTGAACATGATGATGCCAAGGATCAGTCCACTGCCGGAGCATGGGGGAGAGCGATCAGCCCGGGAGAGTGGAGGATCTGGTAAGAAACAGACGCTCCCCTAGACAAAACAAGCTACTAATGCTTGCAGCGTGGGCGCAGCCTTACTGTGAGGGATAATTTAACATTTTCCTGGAGTTGGGCTTTAGACTGTAAAAATAAAGATTTTATATGAACAATAAAAAATTATACAAATGAGGTTTTAAAACTGTAAAAAAAAAAAAGTAAAGTGATCCCAGTTTCTTAGTTTTTTCTATAAACTGGTAGATTTAAGACTAACCTTTTGGTCCTTATTTCTCCCTCATTTTGCAGGTCTCCTTTTTGTTTTCAGACCGTGGTATCCCAGATGGCCACAGACACATGAACGGATATGGCTCGCACACTTTCAAACTGGTCAACGCCAAGGATGAGCCTGTCTACTGCAAGTTCCACTACAAGGTAAGGGACACTCGGACCAGCTGTGCCTCAGATATTGGTACATGATGCTGAATCTGGGACCCCATACATACCTAAAATAAATAAATAGATGTGGGTTAGATATATGGCAGGCTAGATTAGGTTTCCAGTATGACTAGTAATGCCCTGATCTACATGCAGCTTTTGAAACCTCAAGGTCCAATTTAGCAACTGCTTAGTTAGCTTTTGTCAGTTCTAACATAAAAGGGTTAGATGTTTGCAATTGCACAAAATATAAATGCAAGGACCAACACTTTAGATTGTTGATCCATTCTGAATCTGATTTGTCTTTTGGGGATTTAATAGCAATTTTATTCCATTGCAGACCAACTTTTGGATCACATTTTTTATTAAAAAAAATATATATACCGTATTTTCGGCGTATAAGGCGACTGGGTGTATAAGACGACCCCCTAATTTTCCAGTTAAAACCTAGGTTTTGGGCTATACTCGCCATATAAGACTACTCCCCTTCCGAGGCAACACCATTTAAAAACATCAGATTTTTTTATTGAAATGGTTATGACTTACCGGTACTTAAAATCCTTCAAAATCCTCATGTTCATCCTCTGACATCATAAGTTCATGAATGACATCTTGTGATACATTTGTAAGACAGTCATCATATGGATCAAATTCCAAATCAGATGGTTACCGCTGGATGTGTGGTAGTACGGTAGCTTCGGCTACATACAGTATATATACAGCCCGCTGGATGTGCAGTAATGTACATATAGTATACCGCGCTGAGCCAAGCTGACTCAAAACAAATGTCCCTATGGCAGATTAATCTGTCAGCCCCCTGGATGTGCGGTATATACAGTATACTGAGCCAAGCTGTTTCAAAACTTACCAGTATGTCCCTACTGTAATCAGACCGCTTGATGTGTGTATGTACGGTAACTGCGGCTACATACAGTATACACTGGGCCAATCACGGCGAGCGATGTATTCTACTAATACAAAGCCTGCTTGAATTGGCTGAGGTTGTCACATCATCAGCCCACCTCTCTGACTCAGCCAATCCGAGCAGGCTTTGTATTCATTAGAATACATCGCTCGCCGTGATTGGCCCAGTGTATACTGTATGTAGCCACAGCTACCATACATACACGCATCCAGCGGGCTGATTACAGTAGGGATGTACCAGTATGTTTTGAAACCGCTTGGCTCAGCGTAGCATACTGTGTATATACCGCACATCCAGCGGGCTGACAGATTAATCTGTCATAGGGACATTTGTTTTGAGCCAGTTTGGCTCAGCACGGTATACTGTATGTACAGCATTACCACACATCCAGCCAGCTTGACCCAAACAAACTCAAGGTTCACATTTTATACTCCACGTATAAAACGACCCCCAATTTTTGGGGTATATTTTTAAGTATAAAAAGTCTTATACGCCAGAAAATAGCGTGTGTGCGTGCGTGCATGCGTGCGTGCGTACGTACGTACGTACGTACGTACTTTTCTTTCTCTATCACGTCTCTAGTTGTTCTTAGATTCTTGAAAAATCATTCCTTCTTCTTTGGCTTCCTAATTACCTAATTTGGTAGAAGTAAAACATTTTTTATTTTCCCTTTTTTTATAAAGATTCTATTCATCATAATGGTTTTTTTTTTTTGTCTGAGAAGATAATAATTTTTCAGTGTTTACTGGTTACTGAAAAAAAAAAAAATGCAAAGCAAAACAAATCCGTGTGACTTGGCGTCTAAGAGATTTGAAGTCTGGCCTTTGATCTACTGATTAGAAATCACTTTTGTGATAACCTCCTGCATAACCATAACCTACGTCTTTTCAGTATACCATGTAATCACATGAGAAGAGTTACAATTGTGATTAAGGAGAGCAAGCAATTGGCTTGTATTTATAAATCGAAATAAACTGTAGCCCAAGTTCTTGTTAGATTAACAGTGTATGTGTCCCATCTGACAATCCTATCTACTCTGGAGGGCACAAACCACTAAGAGACTGTTCGTTGCTAAAGCAGGTGGTATAGGAGTAGGGTCATTAAAGTTGAACTCGGGAATGTATAAATTAAATACCCTTTTAATGGGGTCCCCCACACTGCAAGGGTAATTTCTTGGTAAGTCTATGGAGTACAGGAATTGGGAGTAATACCTTATTACAGGCTCCAGTAGGCTTCTTCTAACCATGCAACCAGTCTGCCTCTCAGCTGTGATTGTGTCTTCTCCCACACAGTGCTGGTTAATAGCCCTGCATTGTATGTGGGGACTAAGAGGAGAAAGCTGAAGCCGGCCAGAGTGGGGAGTTTGGTAATACATCTTCTGATATCCCTAGAAAATAACAAGCATCTGACCCTTGCAGTGCAGGGGGCCCAACTGTGTGGGTGGGTGAAAAAAAAAATAATATACAGTCCCAGCATTCAGCTTTAAGTCATCCATCCAGATCTTTTCAGACTTTTGAAATTTACCTTGCAGGGTATAGGTTAAAGGAGAATTCTGGGTAAAATTATTTTCCTATGCAGTGGGGCTGTAGCGCAAACCGTTGTTCCTGTATAATAATAATATCCACTTGACTCATTTGATTTTTAAAGCTACTTCTGGTGAGCAGGCTGGTGCTTGCAGGGCAACCCAAGTCTTCAGTTTTGGCCGATTGAGCAGGATGGATGGAAGTTTGAGCCGCCTATAGGACTGTTTAGTGCTGGATGAAGTTCTCCTTGAAAGCATATTGTGGGGGGTTGGGAAGAAGGCAAATACTGGGCTGTTTTCTTGGCCAATTAAAGGGTTCTAGGTTGCTGATCATTCCAGGTGAGGATCATTGCAAAGAAGCGCCAAAATTCCCAGGAAATCCATATTTCAGGAGCAAATTGTAAGGGAAATGGCCAGTTAATGATGGAAAATACTACTTACCAGTATAAAAGTGTAGGTAAAGGCAAAACCTATTTAGGTATTGGGCAGATTGGGAAAGAGACCCTCTGCTGAGCTTGTATTGCGGTCTGTTTTCCTGAGGAGTTTCACCTTCTCTGTTTGTCCTATTGACTATTATCTCCAATGCTGAAAGTAGACAAAGTGGTCATCCCAAATTTTAGAGTTGCAAGCCAAGAGGTGAGGGGAAGTCTTCCAGGAGGGACAAATGTTCTGAGGGTAGGTTTCTAAGATGGGAAGTACATTCACTTAGAAATTCATCTCACTTGCTGTTGTCTCAAAGACAGGAAGGCAAATCTTCCCAGAAGGACACGGGTTGCAAAAAAAAAATCACGATAGGAGTTTTAACACTGCCTACTCAATCTTAAAAAAAAAAAAAAAAAAAGCTAATGGGTACACTTTGAATGAAACCTATTGATTCAGATATCTGGTCTAGAAAAGGAAGCATTTTGTTTTCAGTGGTTCACATTGTCTTGGTTTATCCTCATAGGATAATATTGCACAATGTGGCATCTAATTGGGTCTGCTGTGTAATTCCAGACAGATCAGGGAATCCGAAATCTGACGGTGGACGAAGCCCACCGATTGTCTGCTGAAGATCCCGATTATGGAATCCATGATCTGTATGAAGCCATTGCCAATGGGAACTATCCTACCTGGACCTTCTACATCCAGGTCATGACCTTTGAGCAAGCAGAGAGATTCCCATTCAATCCTTTCGACTTAACGAAGGTGAGTGAAATCTATAGAAAGGCTTGTTAAAAGGCAACTCTGAAAATTCATATTTCAGTTGTGTGTTTTTTTTTTTTTTTTTTTTTTTTTTTTATTCTGGCTTTTGAATCATCTGTTTGTTTTTTTGCTTCTCAGAAAGTGGTGAGAAATCCACAGGAGAATTTCCAATCTTACCCTTTATCCTAGCGGTATACAAGACATTTGGCTGAATACAAGAATAAAAATAACATTTTTGCAGCAGTCCTTTTTTGGTAGCTGCATTTTGTTTTTTTTTCTTTTTATTTTCACTTCTTATTCTGTTATGAACACTCTCCCTGTCCTAGGATGACAACCATTATTCACTACACTGTACCTGTGGAGGAGCAGCTTTGTTACCCTAGACTGCAGAACACATCCCCTTCCCCTCTTCTCTGTGGGAGGGGGGGGCGGTGATGTAATTGATTACATCTGCAGAAGCAGAGAGCACAGGAATTTATCAGCTCTCAAGATTTCTGGCAGACTTTGCACTTCTCAAACAGACATAATGAAATCCTTTCAATGATTTATTAAATGAAGATGACGTAAAATCCTTTAGCAACTCTGATGCCTTTTCTTCTTGTCCCAGATCTGGCCTCACAAGGACTACCCTCTCATCCCTGTGGGAAAGTTGGTCCTGAACCGCAACCCAGCCAATTACTTTACAGAAGTGGAGCAAATTGCCTTCGATCCTAGCAACATGCCTCCTGGAATTGAGCCGAGCCCAGATAAAATGCTGCAGGTCAGTTGACCCCTTAGGTGACCTGAGCAGGTCCAAGGCTGAGTTGTTGGTTGCATCAGAATGGGTTTTTAAAGCCAATACAGGTACAGACAAAGTGTGACATGTTGCTGAGCCGTACATATGTGCAGATACTTGTTACTGTAGAAAAACGAATGTTTAGGCCAAAAACGAATGTTTATAATAAAACCTACTCCTTTTTTTTTTTTTTTCTTTTAATGTCAGTATTTATTGCTGTGTCCGCATTGGGAACATTTACGGCTTGTTTGTCCTGGAGTCATCTAGTTTCAAAGTGATGAGAAATCCCAAATTTTTATAGTTGTCACCAGAACAGGAAGTAAGAAAAATCTTCCAATTGGGATAGCGATGACAACAGGACAAGGATTCCCTTAAAGTGAAATTCCAGCTAAAGCCTAACTAGGCTTAAAAATGCTCCCTCTCCTCTCCTAACACCTATACTAAGCAACCAGTGTATAAAAAAAAAAAAATGTGTATATACTCTATTTTCAGCTCACTCCTCTCTGGTTCTGTCACATGATTCTTGAATCAGCCAGCAATGGCTGCAGGGGAGAGGACTAAGTGCCTCTACTGTGGCTGGCAATGCCTGGAGTGGTGATTTCACCAATAGGCTCCTCTGGCCCATTTGTTGTCATTCCCCCCTCTCCATTTGCTGGCTGAGACAGAGGAACCCGATAAAGTGACCAGACCAGAGCGGGTTTATTGGTATATCATCTAGATATTTATGTAGTTGTGCATAATGACTGCTCCCATCTTATGAAAAACCTGTAGACCACATGGACAGTAATGGAAAGCACTGAGAGTGAGGCAAATCAGTACACTTTCTAGTATGGATTCTACAGTTTTGCATACAGTAGATGGATTCTTCTGTACTAGATACACTCAAATTATTTATTCAGTAACACGCGTGTCCAGATCATCAGGTGGAAATGTGTGTGGCTCCAAACCTGTTTACTTGTAGACTGTAGTGGCTCCAAACCTGGGAGGAGTCTTGGTATAGCTAGGGGTGCACTGGGGTGCACTGTGACTATGGTAGGGGGTTTGGGGGGAACTGAGGTTTGAGTTCAGCCTTAATGTTTCTGTCTCCTCTTCCAGGGTCGCCTCTTCTCTTACCCAGATACACACAGACACCGCTTGGGGAGCCAACTACCTCCAGCTACTGTGTGAACTGCCCTTACAAAACAAGAGTGGCCAACTACCAACGTGACGGCCCAATGTGCTTCACTGATAACCAAGGGAATGGGATTGATTTGCATTCCACTCTATCATGCACAAATGGTCCATCTCAAAGTTGACTTGTAGACTTCACCTCCACAACATCTCCAAGATACGCCCGTCTCTTACCTCTGAAACTACTAAGACAACTTCTTCACTCCCAACTTATCTCTCCAGCCTTGACTATTGTAACTTCCTCCTCAAAGGCAAACTCGTCGCAGGCTATCCCCTCTTCAGTCTATCAAAATGTGCTGCCAGACTCATCCACTTTATTAACCATTCTGTATCTGCCACCCCTCTCTGCAAATCCCTCCACTGGCCTCCCAGTGTCCTCCATCCCTCTCTGCCAATCCCTCCACTGGCCTCCGCTCAGTGTCCTCCATCCCTCTCTGCCAATCCCTCCACTGGCCTCTGCTCAGTGTCCCTCCATCCCTCTCTCCCAAGATACCCCGTCCACTTAACCTCTGAAAGTGTCCTAATAACTTCTCACTCCAATGTTATCTCTGGCCTCCGACTCATGTAACTCCATCCCTCTCAGTGGCCAATCCATCCACTGGCCTCCCTCTCTGTCAGTCCATCCCTCTCTTGCCAATCCCTCCACTGGCCTCCGCTCCGTGTCCTGCCATCCCCTCTCTCTGCCAATCCCTCCACTGGCCTCCACTCAGTGTCCTCCATCCCTCTCTGCCAATCCCTCCACTGGCCTCCGCTCAGTGTCCTCCATCCCTCTCTGCAATCCCTCCACTGGCCTCCACTCAGTGTCCTCCATCCCTCTCTGCCAATCCCTCCACTGGCCTCCCATTGCCCAACGGATAAAATTCAAAACATTAACAATAACATATAAAGCCATTTATAACTCTGCTGCCCAAATTACAACACCAATCTTGTCTCCAAATATCACAAACCGTCCTCTTCACTCCTCACACAACCTCCTACTCTCTAGCTCCCTTGTCTCCTTCTCCCATGCTTGTCTCCGGGACTTCTCCAGAGCCTCCCCCATCCTCTGGAACTCTCTACTCCAATCTATCAGACTATCGCCTACTCAATGCTTCCATTATGATATCAAATTGGAGATTGTTCCACCTTGATCAAATTAGAAAAGTGTTTACTACACCAATCAAAGGAGGTCATATAACCCTTATTGTGGTGCATGTGGAATTTCACTTGCACTACCTTCTTCAGCATCAAGTAAAGGCCGACCTCCATCCAGTGGAATAATGTCACTTGATGGTGTATGCTTTTTTTTTTTTTTTCTTTTCTTTTAAGGATGGTCTATGAAGCCCTCTCTAGCACTATCTACCAGTTTGGAACTATAGAGGAAGCTCTGCATTATCTAAATACAATACATACCTGGAGTGACACGTGGTGATTGCTAGACACAACTCTGGAATTCCGTTAAATTCTACCCATGCAATTCACACACACACACACACACACACTGCACAGGACAAATAATTGTTTGGCAAGGAGGGAACGGAATCCATAGAAATCCTTGCCTTATTCCTCGCTTTCCTCCGGAGCTGGAGCTCTTCTTCTCTTTTCTCTCCAGTGCTGCTGGGATGCCGCTGGGCCCTTATGTTTGTATACAATTCAGGATTGCTGTGATGTCAGATGAATGGGCAGTGGAGAAGCAGCTTTGGGGGACTGATTGTATGGAAAGTAGAAAATGATGGGGCCAAAGCCACCCAAGAATTTATTCCATGCAGTTTGGGGTAGGGGCACTTTATAGCATATTAATGGTGTGTACCATTCTTGTTTTTGTTCTCGCCATGCAGGGGGAGCTCCCAATTATTTCCCCAACAGCTTCTCTGCCCCGGAGAACCAGCCTTCAGTCATGGAGAGCAAATTCCGTGTGTCAGCTGATGTTGCACGCTACAACAGCTCCGATGATGACAACGTCTCTCAGGTAACCACCTTGAATAATACCTCTGAACCACCATCCATCCTGGTGGAGGGCATAGCTCCATATGGAGTTCCTTGGCTATCTCGACAACGCATTTGCTGGATTCTGTTTGCAGGAAGACAGAGGATTCATATGTTAAATGGTTTCTGTATTGTACAGGTTTGGCAGCAGCCTTACGTTTATATAGCGAATGCTTTAATGGATCATCTGTACATACCAGCTTAAACCACCTCTCCAGACTAAAGTTTATTAAATAAAAACCTACATGGGCTGCAGTACTCGCCATAAATTCAGAGCTGTCCTACACATCACCTCTTTTCCATTTTGGTGTGCTCAGTGTTCTGGGTTAAACTATGCTAGGTGTTCCCTAAATTGGATGGATGAAGGCACACTGAATGTAGGTCGTCCAGGACCCTGCCTCCTGAGTAGGTGTCATTATGGTGCCCTTCAGTTTCACTGTACTTGTGCAGAGAGTGGATGGGCAGTGCTCAATGATACAAAAAAACAGCACTGATGTGATGTCATCAGCATGCTTTCTGCACTGATGAGGACTGCCCAGAGAAGAGGTGACAAGGACCCCGCAGCATCAGTCAGTTGTTTGCGTTTAATCCTGCAGCAAACATGCGATAAATTGGAATTCTTTATCTCTGTCAGTGACTCCGCATTGTATCCAACCCATAAGTATGACAAAATAACGAACATGATCAGAATTACAGAGATGCAATGGCAGCCTACAGAATTTTCTCACGACAAGTAGTATTGAAAGTCCTCACGAGGAGGCAGTACATACAGTGGTATGTACTGCCTCCTTGTGAGGACTTTGAACTGATCAAAGTTCATTTTCTGTAATTACTGGAGCCTCTGGGCGGAGGGGAGTCTTTAACCACTTGCCTACAGGGCACTTATACCCCCTTCCTACCCAGGCCAATTTCCAGCTCTCAGCGCTGTCACACTTTGACAATTGCGCGGTCATGCAACACTGTACCCATATGAAATTTTTATAATTTTTTTTGACGGCTTTATTTTGGTGGTATTTAATCACCTCTGGGTTTTTTTTTTTTTTTTTTTAAACCAAAAACCGCTGAAAATTTTGAAAAAAAAATGTTTTTTCTTAGTTTTTGTTGTAAAATTTTGTAAATAAGTGATTTTTCTCCTTCACTGATGTGCGCTAATGAGGCTGTAGTGATGGGCACTGATAGGTTACACTGATGAGGAGGCACCGGTAGGTGGCACTGATGGGCATTGACAGGCATCACTGATGAGCACTGAAAGGCAACACTGATATATGTTAGGCACTGATAGGCAGCACTGATGCACACTGATAGGTGATAGGCACTGATAGGTGGCACTGATTGGCAGCACTGATAGGTGGCACTGATTGGCATTGATAGGTGGCACTGATGGGTGACACTGAAAGGCAGCTCAGATGGGCATTGATATGTGGGATTGATGTTCACTGGTAGGCACTGATATGTGGCAGTGATGGCATGTGGCATTGATGACACTGACAGGTGGCACTTCTGGGGCCACACTGATCATCAGTGCCTTGATGATCAGTGTACATGGTTAATAGAACAAGGGTTTGTGTTGGCGCTGATAAACGCAGAACACCAAATTCATGCAGTACAGCTTGAAGGAAATGGCTGTTTGTCCCTAATCATCAGGGAAAACTCAGTGGATGTTGGAAATGCATCAGATGCCCCATTTTTTGTACCCACATGTACAGGGCTGCATTTAATGCACTAGCCCAAATATACATGATGTTTTACTTATGGCTGAATGTTGTTGGGCTGGATCAGTGGTTTGTAGTCTGATATCTTCCAGGCTTTTCCTTTTTACCATCGTGTGTCTGGCTGCTTCTGTTACGTTCTGATTAATGTAAACTAAACTGAAAATTCAAATACTTGTCAGGTCACATACTGAGATTGCCCACCACACTGGCATCTAGCCTGAGTTTAATGTCAGAGAGTCTGGCTGAATGCTTCCTCTGCCATTCAGGAGAAGCTTTGTATTTTAATCAAGAAATTACAAGGCTTCCTCTGACTGGCCAATGTAGAAAGGTGGGTGGATGATGTCACAATTTCTTCCCCTTTTCCAAGCCTTGCATTCATTCCTAAAATGTACAAGTCTTCTCTAGAATGGAGGAGAAGCAGTCCAGGCGACTCTACAGCAGCAAATGGGAAGTCACCTGTACTGCTGCTGGAACACTTTGCTGCATATGTATGTACTGTAGGTCATACTACGACACTGCATTAGTGTACACAGCAGCTGCATCGTTTTAGTAATGGAAATAGTTCTTCTGGCTGAGCTAGATATCGAAGGCCAAAGCTTCCATGGCCCTCAGCTGTTGATGAGAGAAATTGGCGTTCTACTTATCCAAGTATTAAACCCTCACATTCTATAGTCACATCAGGCCCCATATTTCTTTAGATGTGTGGGTTTTGTTCCTTGACATTCCTTGCCTTTCCTGATCACAAGCCTGTGCAATGACTGGATCTGTAAACTCACGCGGTTTGCCGATGTCCTCTTTATACCGTATATTTTACAAAGGCCTATTCATGAAATACAAGGAGAGAACCGAGAGTGACCCTGTTTTTCAGACCGCCTTTTGCAACAGTGTCCAACATAGTGGAGAGCTTTATTTTGTGCACATTCACACTCATCACACATGGGTGTTAGTGTGCATTGATGGTTTTGTACCCATCAATTTTTTTTTTTTTTCTGGTGTGAATCGCTTTTTAGCAGCTAGCAGACATTCAGGTGATGAGCCTGCCACCTCCTGAATGTCTGTTGTTTTTTTTTTTTTTTTTTTTTTTTTGTTTTTTTATTCCAATGGGGATTTTGTATTGAAATACTGCACTGCAACCATGAGCCAAGAATCTGGCTTGCTTTTGCAGCATGCTACCTTTTGACCACCATGGTTGCGTTTTGACAGCCATCTATCAAACTGTGCAAGTGAAGTTAATATTGCAGCAAAGCACCACTGAAAGTATACAGCCCTGTCCAGCTGTAATGTTAGAATTTAGGTGGGTGGCTGTGGGACAGTAAAACTGTGGCTCAGCCATTTGTCTTGTGCTGCCATCTTTAAATAATTCTGATGGTTTAGTCTTGTCCCGCAAAGGAGAGTTGATATTAATTTTTTTTTTTTTTTTTTAATTGTAATCTCTCTCTTTTGGAACAGAAGTTTTAGACTGTAAGGCTGCTATGGAGGAATAAGTACCTGTCTTCTGCCTGAACTCAGGGTTAATAAGTCATATATATTTCAAGGATCAGGTCAACATAGCTGTTATGAATGAATTAATTTCATAACAGCTGTAATTACAGCAAAGTGTTAAAAAAATGAAGTTCAAAAACAAAAAAAAAAAAAAACCCTGATCATCGCCTTTAGAGTAGTACAGTGTTACTAGGGGGACCTTGAACTACTCTGATGAAAGTATGATGGAAAAAAATAAGTTTTAAAAATTTAATAAAAAGGTCTTTATTTAACATATTGTCACCAATTAGTGTTCCTGATTAATGCCACACCAGTCAACCAGGCATATGATGATGCTGTCTCCTAGATTGTAAGCTCGAAAGAGCAGGGCCCTCGAACCCCTCGTGTATTGTTTTGTTACTGTATTGTCTCATGTAAAGTCCCCCACTATATTGTAAAGCGCTGAGCAAACTTTTTGGTGCTATATAAATACTGTATTATAATAATACTGTACTGCACTGGTGACAGTATGTTTTTATATTTATATATATATATATAAAATTTTTTTTTTAATTTTCAGTCTGTTTTTCATTTTTATATTGCAAAAAAAACCCAATGGTGGTCAAATATCAACATAAGAAAGCTCTATGTGTGTGTGTTTAGATAATTATCGTTTTGCGTACCATATTGCATGACTGTGCAATTGCCAGGTAAAGTAGCACAGTACTAAATGGCAAAATTTCTCTGGTCATGAAGGGGGTAAAACCTTCCAGAGCCCAAGTGGTTAAAGGCCCATTCACACCACATCTTTTGGGCTATGTTATCAAAGACCAGTTCAGTCCAATAAGCTGAAATTCATTGTTTCCAATAGGCCCAGTGACCTCAATGTGTGCTGCATTGATGTGTGCTGTGTCAAAAAAGAACATGCTACATTTAAATACAGCACAATGTGCTGCAACGCAAGGCATGTCACAGCAAAAAAAATAAACATTTTGGCTGCTGCAGTGGGGGAAAGAAGCACATCAGTGCATTGTAATGTAATGTGTTTAAAAGTATGTAGGCGCATGTCAACTCCAGTGCTGAACAGGTGCTGAGCGCAACACGCTTGATGTGCATTCAGCCTAATTTTTTTTTCATGATGATAGTTCACCCTTCTCTAGCCCTTTACACTGTTCATGCGGCTGTGGGTTCTGCCAGAGACAGGCCAGCCTCCATGGGGCTTACAGAAAAAATGAGGAAGGGTTGTAACAGCGCAAACACTGCAAAGTCCTGGGAAATGGTAATATGGGGTGATCGTGGTATTAGTGGCTACTGTATGAAGAGCGTGGCTTGAAAAAGGAGTGCACTTCCGCCTTCCACAGCCAGTGCATGCTCCGAAACGCGTCGCAGTGCACCCTGGGATCTGATGTCATCACGGCCACGCCGCCGCTACGTTCCAGCGTGCGTTCCATCCGGCTCTGAGGGAGGACGTGCACTCCGACCGGCCTCACCGCTGTTCCCCTCCAGCCACCACGCTGTTCCAGCCGAGAGCTGACCTCCCCACATCGCAGAGAGATGACGGCTCTTCACCCGGTTACCACCCCACCGTTAACTATTATTGCACTTAGAGGCGCTTCTCTCCTTTTTCCTGGTCATCCATGGGCTTACAGACTGTCACTGAGCTGGAATTGTGGTAGAGGGTGGAAGTGAACTACAACACACTGCTACACTGAGATGCAAGGCTGTATATTTATGATATCCTAAGAGTGGAGATTTTTTTTTTCCTCTGACCAATGCTTATTGTTGGCTGGTTTTCTTTAAGCAACCCATAGACATGACATAGGAGGTAATCAATATGGCTATCCTTGGATGGATTGGGCAACCATGTCAGAAATCTAGTATGCATGTTTTTTTTTTTTGCCCACATTCTGCCAATAGACCAACAAATGTATAACTAGAGACCTAATGCCCAGGACATCTAACATTAGCCTGGTCAATGGCCATAAAGTGATGGTATAGTTGTCGTACTGACATGGTGTATGTGGCTACCTTGCAGGTCCGGGACTTCTACACCAAAGTGCTGAATGAAGAAGAGCGCAAGAGGCTCTGTGAGAACATCGCCGGTCACCTGAAGGGTGCCCAACTTTTCATCCAGAAGAGAGCTGTGAGTACCGTCTGCAATGGACTGTGTATTAAAGAGCACCTGTCGTGCATAGTTATGAAAGATATATTTTGCATTTGTGAACATCCTAGAACTTTAAAAGCTAAGTTCACCTTTAGTAACATGTTACTAAACAGCCCCTGCAATATTATTATCCCCCGTTGTGGCAGCGGGTGGGGATCTTCTCCCTGCACCGCTGTCGCAATTTAAAATAAAAAAATAAAGTGGCAGTGCAGGGTTCTGCCCACACAGCCGCATCATTTTATTCACAGAGTTCTGTGAATGAGAAACTACGGCTACCATCAGTCTCTGCAGCTTCTGGCTTGTAGTTCTTAATGAGCTACCAGAGCGCTGTTGAGCACTCTAAATAGTTCATTGATTTTTCTTGTCATTGTGTGACCTCCTTCCCATATGAGTAGATAAATACACTGACAGCCTGCAGGAGCCTTGCATTTTCATGCGGGTACAATGCTTTACAGGCAAGAATTAAAAAGAAAAAAAAGAAAAAATGCTTTTTTTTTTGCAAATAAATGTACATGTACCGTATTTTCCGGCGTATAAGACGACTTTTTGACCTTGAAAATCTTCTCAAAAGTCGGGGGTCGTCTTATACGCTGGTATACGTCAGGGCAGCACTTTTTAGGGGGGCGGTGCCGCCGCCGTCCCCCCCTTTCGACAGAAGGGACACTAAGTACAGGGGTGGGCAGAGGGCTGCTGTCTCTTACCTGGCTCCCATGACGATCCAGTCCAGGAAGCGCTGCTCCTTCAGTCACTCCAGCCACTCCCTCACTCCTGATGCTCGGCTCCGCCTCCTCACCGGTGATTGGCCGCCAGAACTGTAGCTCAGGAAAGACACACAGGTGGCCAATCACGGGTGAGGAGGCAGAGCCGAGCAGACCCACACGAAAATCGAATGAGGGAGCAGCCGGTAAGTGTGCAGTGCAGAGGTGCTGGTGCAACCACATATGCTGGCTGCAGCAGCACCATACTGGAACAGGGGTCAGCAAGTGTAATTGGTGTCAGTGGGAGGAATAGTGTCCCATCATTGGTGTCACTGACACCAACGATGGGGCACTATTCCTCTCCCCACTGATGGGGCACTATTCCTCCCACTGACACTAATGATGGGGCACTATTCCTCCCACTGACACCAATGATGGGGCGCTATTCCTCTCACTGACACCAATGATGGGGCGCTATTCCTCTCACTGACACCAATGATGGGGTGCTATTCCTCCCACTGACACCAATGATGGGGTGCTATTCCTCCCACTGACACCAATGATGGGGCACCATCATTGGTGTCAGTGGGAGGAATAGCGCCCCATCATTGGTGTCAGTGGGAGGAATCGTGCCCCATCATTGATGTCAGAGCGAGGAATCGTGCCCCATCATTGGTGTCGGAGCGAGGAATCGTGCCCCATCATTGGAATACCATACTGAAATACCATACCATATTGAAATCAAATCTGATTTTTTTTTTAAATTTTTATTTGGTCTGCTCGTTGGAAGAGGGGTAGTCTTATACGGCGAGTATAGCCCAAACCCTGTATTTTAACAGGAAAAGTAGGGGGTCGTCTTATACGCCCAGTCGTCTTATACGCCGGAAAATATGGTAATATTCTTTCCTTTTTAAAGGATAAATTAACCTTTAAAAAAAAATGCACATCTTTTTATATAGAAAAAAATCAAGCACTTTTTTTTTTTTTTTGGTAAATTTTAAGTGCTTTTTTTTTTTTTTTTTTTTTTGCAAATGTACATTTTAATATGCTTTCCTTTTTTTAAAGGAAAAATTCACCTTTTTAAACAAAAAAAGTGCTTGTTTTTTTTTCCTGTATAAAGATGTGCATTACTTTTTTTTTTTTTTTTTTTTTTTTTTAACACACACTTGCAAGAGCTTGTAAAGTAAGTGGATCACGGGTGCAATGTCAGGATCCTGCAGACGCTCCTTTCAGCTTTCTGCCCGTACTGTCATATGGGTTTTCAATTAGAAAGCTGCAGGAAGAGTGAATGGATTACGAGCTTACTGATCAGTACACTCATTGAGAACTACAAGCCATCTGCTGCGATGACAGATGGGATGTGTAGTTTATTCATTCACATCCTAAATACAACTGTAACATGTTCCAAAGGGCAGCTTAACCTTGAAATCCCTCTGCTTGTATGAATTAAAGCGGACCAATGCTCAAATGTTAATGAGCTATGCTCACAGTCATCCTTTGATAGAAAAAAGAAGTCGATGTCCAGGCAGGTACCAGACAGTGACCAAAGGGGGACTTTTTAAACTTTAATGTGTGGGAATCTTTAATATGGAAGAATTAAAATGTAAAGGTGGGGCGCACACACATTTCTGGAAGGGTATTGTCTGTCTACTGGCATCAGAAAGAAGGAAACTCCCTCCTTTCCTGGAGAAAATGCTGCTCCAGGGTCACTTCCTTGCAGGCCAAGGTACTTGAGTCATTTGATTTTATGCTGAAGGTGACAATCCATGTTTAGACCAGAAAATCCTCACAGATCATTGACTGTAATCCCCAGATCTTTACATATACGAGCAAGGAAGGGAAGTATTTCTCTGTATCCATCCCACAAGATGTGGTCCAACCACACAATTGTACATCTTGGGAAAGATTTTTCCACAATAAGTGGGGGTTTGATTATGGAAGGGGAGGAGGACAGGAGAACATTTGGGGCACTAGTTTATATATGCAGCGGTGGAGAACAGCTTCTTTCCCACCAGTAGCATATTGCTGTTTGATTCTTTCCTATTTTCAGTTGTCCGAGATGTCCCATAGATCTACATATTCTTTCCTTGTCTATATCTTGTGACTAGTCCCATAGGTCTATGGGTTCTTTTGGTCTATGATTACATTAGAGCCAGGGGCGGACTGACAACTCATGGGGCCCCCGGGCAATAGGGGATCATGGGGCCCCTGTGTCCTTGCCCAAACTCAAAAAAGCCTATGAAAAAAGGTACCAGGGGCATCTCATGGGGCCCCCTACTGACCCCGGGCTCTCAATAGGGGATCATGGGGCCCCTGTGTCCTTGCCCAAACTCAAAAAAGCCTATGAAAAAGGTACCAGAGGCATCTCATGGGGCCCCCTACTGAACCCCGGGGCCCTTGGGCAGTGCCCGAGTTTCCAAATGGTCAGTCCGCCCCTGATTAGAGCTTTTCAGCAACTGATTTGGAGAATGAGATGTTACTTGGTGCCAGTTTAATGGGGGTGATTTTATGAAGTGTAGAGCCATCATTGTGCTGGAATTTGGATTTTATTACATTCAGTGACCTCATACATTTTCCTTCTACCAGGTGAAGAATTTCACTGACGTTCATCCTGATTATGGCAACCGCATCCAGGCTCTGCTTGACAAGTACAACGCTGAAGGTCACAAGAAGGTAATGGGGAGTGCTGCTGTTTCCGTCCACTAGGGGGAACCCAAACATTACCAGTACTATGAAATACGAGGTGTGACAATTTAATTCCCAGAATGGACTGTAATAGGAAAAAAAAAAAATTTGCTTACCCCTTCACTGGCAGTTGATATTACCTTCAGCCCTGGTTCACACTGATGCTGTGTGGAATTCGCAGCTTTTTCAGTGCAAATTCCTCTCTGCATCAGAATCGCGCCCCGTTCATGCGGACCGCTGTGGGTTTGTAACAAAACTCCAAAAGCGGTCCGCAAAACGCGGTTTGATTGTGCAGAATCGGAATCGCAGAGGTGTGAGTGCCTAATGCGATCCGATTCTAGTGTAGACCCAAAAAAGGGTCCTGCACATTTTTGGTGCGTTGCGATTAGAGCCATACAAAATGTATGGCTCCAATCGCACTGCACACAAATCGCATGTGATTTGCACAAGAATGTGGTGCGAATCATATGCGATATACTGCACCGCACATATGTGAACCCAGGCTGAAAGTAGTCCCCTTGTGAAGCGACACACTTTTGTAGACTAATGTGCCACTGCCGGAAACATTCCTAGAATCAGTTTTCCAGAATGTTGTGCGGTATGTTTGTTGCGTTGGATGCCTGGCATGTCATCAAATCTGTGTCCTCCTTTTTCTTTTTTTTTTTTTTTTTTTTTTAGGCATTTTTTTTAAATTTTGGAACCAGCCACAATTCACAGGGTGCCAAGTCAGAGGAATAAGGTGGTTGGTCAAGTTTTTGGAATGGGTTTCTGGGCCAGGAACTCACAAACTCGTAATCATGTGCAGGAACATTGGCATGGTCAGAGTTCCGGTCTTTTCCTCTGAACAGATTCCCATAAACTGTAATTTTTCCACATTTGCATTCGTCCTTTGCTTTTTGATTACCCACTTAATGCGTCATTGTGGACATCTTCCCGCCCTCCTTTTTTAAACAGCCTACTCCATTGAAAATGGAATGTTCACCATAGGCCTGTTGTAACAGCGCTAAAGTTTCACTCACACATTTTCCAATTTTCACGCAAAATTTGATGTTAAACCACTGCTCCAGATTCCGGTCACTCATTTTCTGCCAACAGAACAGTCTTTACAGAGTAGTAGAAGAAATAACGTGTGAGTTAGCTGGTCTGCGACCCACGTGAGTGCCACTTGGAACATGTCAGAACACGCTCAAGAGCGATTGGCTGCGAGAGTCTCCACCATGGGGTTGCTCCTCGGGCATTCCAGGAAATAAATTGTCACGCCTTATTTGTAGACTGTAATTTCCACTCTCCTACTCAAGATGCCTGGATGTTGTGTTAACCCAATGGCTTTAATATACTTGATGTCACTGATGTAACACAAACATGCAGAAAGTAAAGGAAGAACTTATGACCCAGGTCAGTGCCTCAATGTCATGAGAGGCGGGCAGTTGACCTTTTCAAAGAGAAGTTGGCATTGGCTGCCTACCTATTTCTCTCAGCCAAACATGTATATGCCTGTCACTTGAAGGAAATGTTTGCTATGAAAGGAACATCATTGGAACCTAACCCCATATTGAATTCAAAGACCAGCTCCAACCTTGTGTATTATTTAGCATGGGTGACATGTGACTATATACAGTGGATATAAAAAGTCTACACACAACTGTTAAAATGTCCGGTTTCTGTGATGTAAAAAAATGAGACAAAGATAAATAATTTCAGAACTTTATCCATCTTTTAACCACTTTCTGTCCGGACACTTTACCCCCTTCCTGTCCAGGGCAATTTTCAGCTTTCAGCGCTATCACACTTTGAATGACAATTGCACGGTCATGCAACACTACCCATATGAATTTTTTACCATTTAGAGACCAATAAAGCTTTATTTTGGTGGTATTTATTCACCGCTGGGATTTTTATTTTGTTTGCTATGTAAATGAAAATGTCCAAAAATTTTGAAAAAAGTGTTTTTCTTATAAAATTTTGCAAATAAATAATATTTCATCATAAATCTTGGCCAAAATTTATTCTGTTATCTTTTTAGTAAAAAAAAAAATAAGCCAAATTAGTTTATAACCAAAAATTATAATTTTTAAACTTTTTTTACATTTTTATTTTTTATATTATTTATGGGTTTTTTTGGGGTTTTTTTTTTTACATACTGTCACCCTAGCAGTACAGTGTCACCATGGTGACACTGTACTACTTGTGGGGGGTGATGAAGATTTTTTTTTTTTTCTTTTGTTACACTGATTGCTTTTACACCCATATAGGATGTAAAAGCAATCATTTCTCCTTCTCTTTGTCTGCATTCTTGCAGCCATTGAGAACTACTGAGTGAGCTCTGATTTGGTCACAGCTTGTCACATGGTACAAGGCTGTTGGGAATAGCCTTGTACCATGTGACCTCTGTGATCATTCACAGATTTCACACGTAGTAAGCAATGATGTCACAAGTGACATCTTGCTTACTACTTTGCATGTGATCACTGACTGGCCAATCAGTGATCACATGATCGGGACCTCGTACAGAGGTCCCGTCCGACGATCGGTGTTTCACTGTGTCAGGAGAACACAGCGGGCACCGGATCACGGTGCTGCGCGCTCACAGGGAGCGCGCACTAGCAGGGTGCGGGGAGGCCGTTTATAAAAAACCGCCACCCAACCCTGCACTGCCACCATCCAGCCGTTTATATAAAACAACCGGACGGGAGGTGGTTAATGTGACCTATAAACTGTACAACTCAATTGAAAAACAAACAAATCTTTTAGGGAGGGAAGTAAACATGAAAAAATAAAATATGGTTGCATAAGTGTGCACACCCTTAAACTAATACTTTTGATTTGATTCCAGCACTCAGTATTTTTGGGGATGAGTCTATCAGCATGGCACATCTTGACCTGGCAATATTTGCCCACTCTTCCTTGCAAAATCATTCCAAATCTGTCAGATTGCGAGGGGCATCTCCTGTGCACAGTCCCTCTTCAGATCACCCCACAGATTTTCGGTGCGATTCAGGTCTAGGCTCTGGCTGGGCCATTCCAAAACGTTCATCTTCTGGTGAAGCCATTTCTTTGTTGATTTGGGTGTATGCTTTGGGTCGTTGTCATGCTGAAAGATTAAGTTCCTCTTCGTATTTAGCTTTCTAGCAGAAGCCTGAAGGTTTTGCGCCAATATTGACTGGTATTTGGAACTGTTCATAATTTCCTCTACCTTGACTAAGGCCCCAGTTCCAGCTGAAAAAAAAAACAGCCGCAATGCATGATGCTGCCACCACCATGGTTCACGGTGGGTATGGTGTTCTTTTGGTGATGTGTTGTTTTTGCGCCAAACATCTTTTGGAATTATGGCCAAAAGGTTCAACCTTGGTTTCATCCGACAATAATATTTTCCCACATGCTTTCGGGAGACTTCAGATGTGTGTTCGCAAAATTTAGCCGGGCTTGGATGTTTTTCTTCGTTAAAAAAAAAAAAAAAAAAAAGGCTTCTGTCTTGTCACTCTACCCCATAGCCCAGAAATATGAAGAATATGGGAGATTGTTGTCACATGTACCATACAGCCAGTACTTGCCAGATATTCCTGCAGCTCCTTTTAATGTTGCTCTAGGCCTCTTGGCAGCCTCCCAAACCGTTTTTATTGTCTTTTCATTATTTTGGAGGGACGCCCAGTTCTTGGTAATGTCACTGTTGCGCCATATTTTCTCCACTTGATGATTACTGTCTTCACTGTGTTCCATGGTATATCTAATGCCTTGGAAATTCTTTTGTACCCTTCTCCTGACTGATACCTTTTAACAATGAGATCTCTCTGATGCTTTGGAAGCTCTCTGTGGACCATGGCTTTTGCTGTAGGATGCGACTAAGAAAATGTCAGGAAAGACCTACTAGAACAGCTGAACTTTTATTTGGGGTTAATCAGAGGCACTTAAAATGATGGCAGGTGTGTACTGACTCCTATTTTACATGATTTTGAATGTAATTGCTTAATTCTGAACACAGCTACATCCCCAGTTATAAGAGGGTGTGCACACTTGTGCAACCACATTATTTTAGTTTATATTTACTCCCCCCTGAAAGATTTCAGTTTGTTTTTCAACTGAGTTGTACAGTTTATAGGTCACATTAAAGGTGGAAAAAGTTCTGAAATGATTCATCTTTGTCTCATATATATTTTTTTTTTTTTTTACATCACAGAAACCGGACATTTAACAAGGGTGTGTAGACTTTTTATATGCACTGTATGTACAAGCTTCTTTTTCTGTGTATTGCTGGGCTTGAAGGACACACAGGTGCCATGTCCTTAGTTTTTTCTGAGTCTCCAGCTACATACAGGATGACTATATTACACTGAGTTCTACTCCTATATATTTGGTGGTCCTGTTTTGTGTGTGTGTGTGTGGGGGGGGGGGGGTTATTTTCCTTACTAGGACAGCGAGGACAACTTGTTTGCTAGAGGTCTGAAAGGACCATCTACATAATGTAATGGTTTTTCTGTGTCTGTAACCTGGTATTGCAGTCAGACAGCCAGGCAGCTAGCATTTTTAACAAATGAGTAGATCAACAGCAGCAGCCACCAGTTTATCTCAATGTAGATTTTCTTCAGGACACAAAATACACTTGTCCAGGGGCAGACTGACCATTTGGAAACTCGGGCACTGCCTGAGGGCCCGGGGTCAGTAGGGGGCCCCATGAGATGCCCCTGGTACATTTTTCATAGGCTTTTTTGAGTTTTTTTTCTCTGGGCAAGGACACAGGGGCCCCATGATCCCCTATTGCTTGGGGGCCCCATGAGTTGTCAGTGCGCCCCTGCACTTGTCCATTCATTCACCCATATTAGTCTTCAGATGATTTTAATTTTGTAATTGCTAATGTTCTTCTTTTACAGAAAGCGATCAAAGACCTACACTCAGCATTCTGCTCAAGTGACTGCAAATGACAAGGCCAACCTGTAACCATCTTCATCCTTTTCCTCCATGATCCGTCCACTAATTTTTTATTTTTTTTTTTTAATTCTAACATTAAGACCTAAATGATTGTTTTAAAAACAGAGCAACAAAATTCCAAATATCTTTCTGGTTAATCGTTAGACTTTTCTACTAAGCTGCTCTTGGCTTCAGGAACATCCTGCACTCGTATATTCCGGGCTGAACCAATAATTGCACAAAAGACAGATAAAACCGAATGATACTGGAAAACAAATAACCGAATATGCAACATAGCTCATGTATGTAATACTAACTTACAGTCCAAACATTTCCACCTGACTACTGTGCACGGATGACAGCTTCCTACTCTGTGCCTTCAAATGACAGTCGGCTGATTGCAGTAAAGGCAATGCAGATAATCGCACAGCTCCTAGATTACACTGAAAGTTGTTGGAATAGCTGGCTAGCAAATGTAGCTCATCAAGCCTTCAACAAACTGACTACTAGATTATAGCAACAAATCTACATAAACAATAGTCTAACTAGTTTCTTGCTGTTGGGAGTCAGCGGGGAGCATGCTGCAAATGGAAACTAATTCTGTAATTGTTTTGTACAATAAACCTACCTGCAGCTAATTATTCTTTTTGTTGAGTGTTTGCGGTTTTTTTTTTTGTTTTTGTGGTTTTTTTTTTTTCTCTCTTCTCTTAGGACTAAGGCCTCATTCAAGGGAGCACTGAAAGCCCTGGTTCACACTAGAACGTAGTATGGAAAACCTGCAATCTGTGTTTCCCACACTGCATTCAGATCGCACTGCACTTGCGATTTGCTGGATACAAATGGAGAAACAGAAAAAGGGCGCACCGACCTAGTGCATTATCGTTTAAAATAATTTATTAAAGAAACAAAAATAGATATCATACTCACAATGGACATAATAACAGGCATGTCAAACTTAACAAGGTGTATGATCCAAACAACATCTGAGTCCATACGATGGAACCCTGGATGACCAACTGGCTAACGTGTTTCAAGGACACAACCTCTTCCTCAGAGCCCCTTCCTCTGAGGAAGAGGTGTCCTCGAAACGCGTTAGAAGTTGGTCATCCAGGGTTCCATCGTATGGACTCAGATGTTGTTTAGATCATACACCTTGTTAAGTTTGACATGTCTGTGTTATTATGTCCACTTGTGAGTATGATACCTATTTTTGTTTCTTTAATAAATTATTTTAAACGATAATGCACTGGGTCGGTGCGCCCTTTTTCTGTTTCTCCATTTATATCCAGTGTATTCGGAGCACCCCGGTCTGTTGAGGGCAGCAAGCAGTGCATATTCCAGAACATTCCTATTGGGTCTACTGAGTCCTTTCCTAGCGCAGGAGTAAAGTGTTTGTTGTGTTGGACTTGCTATTTGCAGCGGGTATCAGTGCAATGTTAATGACACCCCAAACTCTGTTTGCCTGCACTGGATCCGTGTACTACAAAACTACCATGCAATCTGGTTGCAGTGCATGCACTACTTTTGAGCAGGCTCAAATTGCACTGCATCACACCAAATTGCAGCACACTGAATCGCATGTAAATTGCACAGGAATGCAGTGCGTATTCCTGGGTGATTCATAAAGTGAACCTAAGCTAAATGGGCCATTTGTTTATGTGGCTGGAGGTGCCACAGGCAGGCAGCCCATGCAAGTCTATGGGGGGGTGCAGTAGTTGCACAGACAGAGCTGCTTGTCCTAGTATGACAGGTGCAGGTGAGTGCCCTCAACTGCATAATGTTGGCATTCAAGGCCGTTCACCCACAACTGCACACCTGTCAACTTAGGATGAGTGGCTCCTGTAGCCAGAGACTTTGATTTACAATAAAAAAAAAAAAAAAATCAGGTAAAAGCAGTGAAGTATGAGTTCTTCAGTGGATGCACAGCTGGAAATCTTTAATGGCTGACGGGCACATCGGGGCTTACTTTCCACTAGCTCCAAAACATCAGTGCAGCACCTCAGGAGCCTGAAGAGTTGGCTAGCAAACTGAGCAGAGTTCTCTTTCCAGGTCATCCGGACCGGCACACACACAAAATCACAACTTCAGGCAAAGTACAGGTGGGAACACCTATAGCATGAGACGGAAAAATAAAGTGCCCAGGTTATGGGCACTTTGCTTGTGAGTTTAATTTTTATAATTTCTCCCCATCATTATAGTGCCCATAACCTGGCACTCAGTGTATTCAGCCTTGCTGCCTGTGGATAGGAACCAAGATGGCCACAGCGTTCCAGCGTGCGTTCCAAAGGGCGGAAATGACATCAGCAGAAGTTGCGTCATCAAACCCCGAACGGTTTCGATCAATGGATCGTCATCATGAAGTACCACTTGGTTCCTATTCACAAGCAGCAAGGCTGAATACACAGAGTGCCAGGTTATAGGCACTTGGCTTGTGAGTTTTATTCTTAGAATTTCTCCCCCATCATTACATTTTTTTTATGGTTTTACACTATGGGATGTTTGCTTTTTGTTTCTGTTCACACGCTGAAACTTGGTTTACTGCTTGGGAGGAGAGGAGAAAGTTTAAAAAGGCTCTTTTGAAACTACATTGTCATTTTTATCCACGCTGGTCATCATCCTATTGGCTACTATCATCCAGATTGCATGATTCCCAGGAATGAATATTGGTGCCATTCTTGCCATCACGCATTGGGCTCGTCCCAAACCAGGCGCTTAAGACCAACCTAGAGATAGGTGGTCCATGGTTAACGGTGAGTGCACATCCATGTGGGGCACCAATTGAGCACAGAGGAGCACCTGTCATTTCTGCAGTATTCAACACCTGGGTACTTTACTTTTCCAAATTGGGACTGAATGTTACAATTATTCACTGTGTATATGTAAAGCAATACTACTCATGTATTGTCAAATTTAATGCACTTAATTTATGCGCGGTCCACATGGTATTTTGTTTTTTTTTTAATTAGATGAAAAAAAAAAAAAAAAATAAATATATATATATATATATATATATATATGTATGTGTTCAAAATAATAGCAGTCAGACATCACTAACCGGATCAATCACTGTTTTTGGTAGAAATTATATTTCTACATGGCAAATAATTTACTAGCAGGTGTAGTAGAGTAATAGAAATCCAACAGAGCCAACAGTCATGACATGCATGCTGCTGATTCTGTGTAATTGAATCACTCATTGAAAGGGGCATGTTCAAAATAATAGCAGTGTGGAGTTCTATTAGTGAGGTCATTCATTCTTTGAAAAACAGGTGGCAATTATTGCCCTTATATAAGGAAAGGAAGGCAGCAAATGTTGTACATGCTGGTTACAGTGCATTTCTCTCTGAAATTCTGAGGAAAATGGGTCGTTCCAGACATTGTTCAGAAGAACAGCGTACCTTGATTAAAAAGTTGATTGGAGAGGGGAAAACATATAAAGAAGTGCAGAAAATGATCGGCTGCTCAGCTAAAATGATCGCAAATACTTTAAAATGGCAACCAAAACCTGAAAGACGTGGAAGAAAGCAAAAAACTACCATTTGAATTGATAGAAGAATAGCCAAAATGGCAAGGACTCAGCCAACAATCAGCTCCAGGAAGATGAAAGAAGGTGTAAAGTTCCCTGTGAGGATTGTTACAATTAGAAGACGCCTATGTGAAGCCAAGCTATCTGCAAGAAGCCCCCGCAAAGTCCCACTGTTGAAAAAAAGACATGTGCTGAAGAGGTTACAATTTGCCAAAGAGCACATTGACTGGCCTAAAGAGAAATGGCGCAACATTTTGTGGACTGATGAAAGTAAGATTGTTCTTTTTGGGTGTAGTGGCCGGAGACAGTTTGTCAGACGACCCCGAAACACTGAATTCAAGCCACAGTACACTGTGAAGACAGTGAAGCATGGTGGCGCAATCATCATGATATGGGGATGTTTCTCATACTACGTGTTGGGCCTATTTATCGCATACCAGGGATCATGGATCAGTTTGAATACATCAGAATACTTGAAGAGGTCATATGCCTTATGCTGAAGCGGAAATGCCCTTGAAATGGGTGTTCCAACAAGACGACGACTCCAAACACACCAGTAAACGTGCAACATCTTGGTTCCAGACCAACAAGATTGACGTTATGGAGTGGCCAGCCCAATCCCCGGATCTTAATCCAATAGAAAACTTGTGGGGTGACATCAAAAATGCAGTTTCTGAGGCAAAACCAAGAAATAGAGAAGAACTGTGGAATGTAGTCCAATCATCCTGGGCTGGAATACCTGATCACAGGGGCCAGAAGTTGGGTGACTCCATACAACACAGATGTACAGCAGTTCTCATAAACAGTGCGACTACAACCAAATATTCATTAAGTCATTCAAAGGAAAGCAAAATCTTCAAACATTTTTCAGTTTAGTGAATGTTTGAGTTTGTAAAGAAGAATACAAACACTGCTATTTTTTTGAACCGTCTAATATTCACTTTTCTTCAATTTTTTTTAGAGGAACAACACAAATTTGATCTATTTTACTTCATGTTTTGATTTGGAATAGAACGTGTCGTGTTCCCAATGCATTTGTGTGTATGGAAATAAAAGCTATTAGAAGGATTTTGAGCTTTTTTCAACACACTGCTATTATTTTGAACACAACTGTATGTATGTTGTATTGTGTGTTGTGTGTGTGTGTGTGTATTATATATGTGTGTGTGTGTGTGTGTGTGTGTGTATGTGTGTTGTGTGTGTGTGTGTGTGTATATATGTGTGTATATATATATATATATATATATATATATATATATATATATATATATATATTATATATATAGTGTGTGATGAAAATAAGTTAAGCAAAATAACTTATTTTTTTAATTGCACGAAACAAAAAGTACCAACCCAAGCACATACGGTAAATTTCCCCCCTCTAGAGAATGTTGAGGCCCCCCTCCCCCACATACACGCATGTATGAACGTAAATGCATGTGCTTGGGCACCAAGGCATGAAAACATTGATTGCAATACACATGTTACATATCGATGCGCACGC